TGTTGCTAACATGAAGTTTGAGGAGGGAATCCTGGTCGATACTGCTCCTTGAGGGTATGTGCAGTGTCGGAGTCGGAACCCCCCCTTTTTCAGTTTTTTATTCTCTCGCTTCTCCGCGGTGTGCAGAGGGTTGTATTTTACGTCCGTATGTGTGAGTGAGTGCGCGTGTGCACATACCTATCCGAAAGTAAACAATTAAATAATAAGTAATAAACAAGTAGGCCCTTCCTCGGAGAGCGAGAGGGGCGTGGGGAGGGGGCGAAAAAGTCTGTCGCAGCGACAGCAGCTTAGTAATACGCGTGGCGGACATCGGAGGGCGACAAGGCTCCGAGGAGCAGCTGAGGAAAAGGGGGCCGGAAAGGGGTTGAAATGACGGGTGTTAGTGACCGGGTATTCAAATGACATTACCGCGCGGTGGCGACTGGGGGCGTAGACTTCGTACTCGGTAATATTACTCCCTTGTGGTCGTCATAGCAAAACGTTTCAATGCTTGGGCAACGCTGATAACACCAAGGATACCTCTGTTTTTGCTTCTTCCGAAAGGATGTTCGTCCCAGAAAATGAGAAGGTGCCCATAAATCTCGTATTCCGCCAAAGACGACTTCTATACGGTGCTGAGTAGGATCTTCGCGCCAGCGGACATGCCATTAACTATTCTTCTCTAGGCACTCTTACCGGAATCAGGTGTTTTGAGGATGCCGAATTTGCGTCCTTGCACCTTCGGAATCTTGCCATCAAACCACCTCGCCACAACTCCATTCGTGCCCTCAGAAAGAATTTACCCCAAGAATTCTGATCGTATGGTCTCACCGCGTACCAAGACACTTTATGGGGCGTGAACTGGAAAGATGGGACTTTCCCTTCCTCGGTGTCCTTGCTGTAGAGGGCCGATGCGAGCATGCGATATGAGGGCAGATCGAGCTGTGGAGCTGGAGCAAACTCGGTAGGTCTCTGAAATTTTCCGACGTTCACCTGCTGTGAGCGGAATTGTGGCCTTCGGACAAAAATTCGACCGAATAAGAGCGACTAGAAACACTGGAGCTTTTTGAGCGTTGCAAAGACTGTGCACAAATCAAACCATGACTGGGGTATGGACGAAACCGAACAAGAAAAGCAAAGGACATACCCAGATTAATGCTCCACGACTGACACTGAGAAATTGCTGTTTTCCCCGTAGGGAAATTGCTAGCCTTGCGGTGAGACCTCCTGTCGCCGGCGTAGCTTCAAGCGAGCCCACAAAAATCGCTCTCTTACCTTCGTCTTACGGGATTCTGGAATCGTCGGAATGAATGCCCTGCCTGTGACGAGGTCCAATGTCTTGGTAACGAGTCTGGAGATCGAGCCCACACACTGTTTCAGACGGGCCCAACATTTGGTATAGCTGGATCATGAAGCGGCTTTTGTGATGCACTACATCTGCCGCTGATCGCTTGCACTTTCGAAGCTGTAACTGCAAGTACAGCTTTGCTTCGCTAGGTTTGGGCACGATCTTGCCCGTCTTGCCTGGCTTCTCTGAAGCGGTCTTGAACAAAAGTTATGCGAATCTGGATATTATCAGTCCTGTATAACTGCCTCTGCAATTATGCAGTGAGAGAGTAGGACCACACTTTTGCATTGTCTCGATGTCCCAGGGAAGCGTGTGGGCCACAGGCCGTGGTAGGGGCTCCTTCGTTTCAGTTAAACCCCACTTCCAGTTGGTCTAGTCTTGTCCACCGTCATAACTTGACGGTCCCGTCGTCATTGGCACCCTTGTCGAGAGGCGTACCATGGGGCAGGTGGACATCTCGAACCGCCTCATACAGGCTGACTAGGTAGTGCGCCGACCGTTACCCTGGAGATATGTGAAGGGAGGGCTTGGCATGTTGCTGCAGGTTTGGTAGGAAAATGGGAGCTTCAGTAGTATTGTTCCTGTTGGAGCATTGCTAACTTTGACGGAATGTCGTTTTTAGGCGATGGCAATCCTTCTGCACTTGTCTGGCTGAATTGATCCTGTAGGCTAAACGAATCTGTCAGAGGTGCACGTGACTTTTCTCGTTTGTCGCCAGTTCCGGCTAACATGTGACATATCATGCAGGGCGTCATGCGGGCTTTATCTTTGTGCAGGGCCAGTCCTCCATCAACTTAGGCCACTCGGTTGGCCGACATCTCTTGCAATAGCTGCAAAATATGGATCCTTGAAATTGCTTTAGTCGCAGAGGAACTGCATTCTGCGCGTGGATGATGTGGCTCACGCTCTGCATGAAACTTCCACAGGCGGCGGAAAACGAAAAAAGAGACTCATGCTAGTCGTGTGGAGGCATAGGCTTCATCTTTGATGTGCGGCATCCTGAAGGGATTTGTCGAAAGAATCGTCGTCAGTCAACAAGGCCTCTTGGAAACTGCGAGCCGCTCCAGAACGGAGGGAGTCACCGGACCAAGCCGTCGGCATGCAGCGAGTCGACCCTTGCATTGACACGACAAATACTTAATAATCAATAGGCGCAGATACCAAGAACAGGATACGGACTGACAGGATCCTGTAGATAGAGGGGCCTGGCTTCTGAACGGTTGCAAATTGTTCTGACGGGTTCGGGATGCCTGAATGTTGCTAACCTTGATGAAACACGCACACCGAGTGTTCCTGCAAGAGACCGGAGAAGCCGAGAAGCTGGAGAGCAACAGCTCAATGCCGAAAGAGAGACTTGCAACCTCCAACGGGATCTTGGTCAGACCACAAGTGGTTATGCTCGCGATGGATGTCGTTCTTGATCTCGTGAGGCCTCCGCAGCCACCGGACTTTCGGATACATCGGCCGCTTCTCGGAAGAGCTTTTCTTCCAGAACACCAAGTTGGGCGCCTGAGCGCTCAAAAGGTCCGCCAAAGCTGCATTTGCAGTTACGAGCTTGGTGCTGGCACTTTTTTAACCTAGAGTAGTGCGCTCGGAATCGGAGCGTACCGCTCGAAGTTGACGATCGGAGGCTGGTGGCCGCTCTCAAAGAATTCGTAGAAGACGGCGTGACGGTTAGGGCGGACAAAACGAGGGTCAGTGTGGTGGAGTGGAAAGCCTTGCAGCGATTTGGGCCGAATGCGTCCGAGTATAATAGTTTAAAATGTTCATAGAAAGCGTCCACATAGTAACGACACAGATAAAGTTGTCGAGACGTCGGCCTTGGATCCGAGACAAAGATTCCAGAAAATACAATGCTGCACAATGGTGTTAGACTGGCTGAAAGCCCTAGAATTCTGACGGCACAACGCCAGGCCAGACGCGCAGATTTATTACCATGGATGGCGATCGACTGGTTAGTCTGACGGTCTGTTGTCGTGAATTACTAGCAAGGCTGCATTCATGTGTGGGAGAAACTTCTTTGATGCAAAGGTATTTGAGAGGCCCGATTCTCGGCGGTCAGCCCCCCGGAGCCAGGTGCTCGTAGAGAGCCGCGGTAAGTGTCATCGATAGATCATTCCAAGTTGCTTGTCCAGCGGGGCAACAGCAGAGTTGGGGGCATGTATTGATGCTCGTCGTGCATTGAGCATTCTCTGGCAGTTTCTAGCCGTGCAGACTCGAAGTCTCCAGCAAGTTCGTTGAGCAAGAAGAGCGGAAGGTGAGGTGCGGGAGGACTTTCCACATCATCGCCATGTTCTCGCAACATCATAAGACGTGGTCATCACTCCTGGGATGGGCAGTCTATAGGAAATGCCGGGACGAAGAGAGGAGGCTTGCGGAAAGTCTTTCGTACGGTGGGTGTGAGAGGAATACTTGGTCCATACAAGCGAGTGAGGCGGTGGAGTCGTGCTCTTGCCACCCATTACGAGCATTTATCAGGCTTCGAATTTCCGGAAAGCAAACACGAATGAATAAACTGGTCGCCAAAGAGCTGCTAGAGTTGCTTGGTGGATGTCGGAGCAGCGAACTCGAATGAATGAGGGTTGGCTTGATGCGAACGATGATTTGAAGTGTGGTACCATGGGGCAAGGAGGTGGTAATACACGTGCGGGTGATGGAGCCTCGAAAGAGTTGAGAAGAAAGAATGCCTTGGTTCCCCTTTGATGGAAGGTGACAAGGCAGATGAAAGATGATGATGGTGCTGTTGATGGGCGACGCGGTTAGAATGTCGAGAGGAGTAAAACATTTTGATTCTTCCCCGCAGCCCAGACTGTGGAAGAGGCGGCGTCCATTTCGCATCCATTCCACTTAGTGCATACACACCTCTGGTTCACACACCTCTGGTTCGTCTGCCTTGTTTTGGAACCTGGCCATTGACCAGAGACTTGCATTTCCCAACATCTTTGCCCGATACGAGAACTTCCTTGTCTCCTTGCGGCAACAATCCGCAGGATCCATCTACACACGGGGGAGTGACCCTGATCGGCGTCGCAGCACCGAAGAGGAGAAAAAAAAACCAAAAAAAACCATGCAAGTCGCAGCATTTCTATCGGATCTCAAGTCTCTCAGTGTTTGTGTAAGTGAAGTTCGGTTGAATTCTGGATTCTCCTTGATCAATCTCTTCCACAGCTCTATGTCACTGGGTTCCTGTTGTTCCTTTCCCAGGGATTCAAGAATTTGGATTGACTTGCAACTGTCAGTCGCACGAAGCCGCCGTCGCCCTGGTGAAGCCATCTTTGATCACGACAGCCGATGACACAAATCAATCACCAGCCAAGGCAGAGGACACACCTGGACGACCATTACAGCCTTCGGCATCAGAAGAACACCATGATCAGGACCTTCAACGCGCGAACGAACTGGTCTCACTCTACTACGACGTCAAGTTGAAATATCTTAAGGCAGGGCCTGATACAGACCTTGTCCAGGCGGGAAAGGATGTCGACCAGATTATAGCTGCTTTGTCCAGCTCAAAGGGGCAGTGTTGATAGGCCATGGCTATTGGTAGAATCGAATCTGCGCCGGATAATAATGAGCCTATGTCCATGAACGAAGGTGTCCACTGTTAAAGCCTCCGATCCTTTCACCATATTTGAAATCACGATAACGATATTGCCGCCATCCCCATCGCACTTCAGCGCAGAGTGTTCCCCATGGGCCCTAGTAAAGGAGCCTCATGGGCAGGAGCTTGTAGATGCCGTGGTGCCGCAGGTACAGCAGGGTCTCTCGCCTCCTTACCGTCTTTGGCTCCGCGTAACCGGCCATTACACTTGCACTTGAATCGTGCGACTCGAGCCCTGCTAATTGCATGTCTTTGGATCACGTTCATGGTAGGGCTGTCCCTCTGGAGCTGCAAGCGGTGATATTTCCGCAAATATTTTGTCCTCTTCAGTCCCCGACACCTCGAGCACCGATGGATTTCCTCCGCTTCCACATGGAGCCTGGCGCTCGCAATCTCCTGATCCATCTGTCTTTGTTGGATATCTCTTTTATACTCCTTCCGTCTCGCATACCTGTAGGACAGGTCACTCGGTCCATCTAATGGCAATGGAACGTCAGGCACGGTTTTCCCGGCCGTGTTGAGCCGAGGGTGGACCGCATTGGCCAAGTCTCGGCCTAGGATGATAGCGAGGAGGTGCTTCCTGACAACTACCCGGCGGACTTTCCGGATGACTCTCTTTCTTTTACCCAACTTGGCTCTCAATGGCAAGCCAGATACGGCAAGTGGCTGAGCTGAAGTCACTGCATTGACGGGCACTGTATTTGTGACTGTTACAGGCTTTACAAGGAAACTGGTAGGCGCTGGTGCTGCCCCTACAGGGTTTGACGCAGCATTGAGTGGTGTAGTGGTCGCACTTTGTTCCGTCGCTGACTGGACAGGAGTGGGTGACTCGCTTGCACCGCCCGTAGCCGTTGTTCCGAGTGAAGCAGCCATGACCGTGCCGCTGGGTCTGTGTATTCTAATTTCAGGGATAGAGAAAGGCTCAGTATATTCGGCTTTAGAGGAAGCGTCCACACCCAGCCCAGGTATGTCCTCTGGTTTCGTCAACGGGTCTGAACTGGGTTCTGCAGCACTCGGGACTGATCCTTCAGCTTCAGACTGTGTTTCGATTTCCGGAGGGGCAGTGTTTTGAGGATCTTGGGGATCGAGGGCCGGACGGGTTTTGGCCTGAGCGTCCGGCTCTTTTTGAAGCTCTCCAAGAGACTCAGGGGCCCCAGTAACGCCTCTTTCCCTTTCTGCCCCCTCTTTGGAATGGTCGTGAAGTGGGTAAGAAGGCTGTCCGCCAGGAGGTTGGTGAGCCGGAATGAAGACTCGTCCTGGTGCCGATATATCGGTACTTTGGGCCGCAGGGATCGATGCCTCGGAAACGTTCAGTCGGCCCTTAGTGACTCTTGCAAGAAAGGGTAGTCCCAACCCTGCTATTATCTCCTGACTCTCACTGTCTCGGGCTGCACCAGCGGTCGCCCGTTCTGAAAACGTGTTCCGCCGGCGGCTCATTCCTCGTGTACCTGGACCACCGCCGGTGGTACCGCTTGCCTCGCTTCTTTCTTTAACGCTCGAAGTTGGCATTTGGGTCTCAAGCTCAAACGACCCTGCGGATTCGATAGTGGCGACAATTGGAAGCTTGACACCTTCTGGGATGATGATCGATATGGACTGGGCAGATGCTTTTACTTTGATTCGCGGCCGATCTTCAGCTGGACAGCTACTGGAGGATCTCTGAGAGGCAATTGTAGTTAAAGGGCTATCAGAGAGCTTTCTCCTAAGCGCTTGCTCAATGAACTGGATTTCTTCTTCTCGCAATCCCCGTCTAGGGGCGGCTTTTTCAGGGCGGCAATCGGAAGAAGGCAGCTTTTGCGACTTGAGGGCAGTTAAATATCGCTCACGCAGGAACGGCGAGGGGCTCGTGAAAGCGTGTTCGAATGGAATTGTAGGCGCCCTGCTGAGGCGGTCTTTCTGGTCTTGTCAGTACGGTGACGATCACGTAACTGGACATACGAACTGTCTCGAAAAGACCGATAAGTGCTTCGACGGACGGCTTTTTCGGAGCCAAAGAAGCTGTCCAAGTGGATGTAGGCAGCGTAGCTGCGCTGATTCGATGGTCAGGGGCCTTGTGGAGGGCGTTCTTCCGAGATTCCACAGGCGACACTTCCGGGTCCTAAGCCTGTCAGACATGAGCGAAGCCCTCGATTCCTCGGAGAAGGTCCATGCCAGCTCTTTGTTTCTTTGCAGATACCGATGAAGTTCTCCGTCCGGGAGATGAGCCAGGGTTGGAGAACTGGGCGCGTGGTCGCAGGCAGGGTGTTCTGGCCAGGGCCAACCCAAGCCGGTAGAGTGAGGAGAATTACATCTATTTGAGGGGCCGCACGGACAAGATGTGCTCATTACTCATGTTGAGTGAATATGGAATCAAAGCCATAGGCGAGGATAAGTAGTAGTAGTGGTATATTAGGAGATATGAAAACAACGCATCATTGAGTGAATGTGAATGACCCAGGAAGAAAAACGGCAAGAAACCATGGGCGCTCTTGCATAACGCTGAAAAGGGTAAGAGCAGACCTCCCAGTGCATTACATAGTGCCAATATCAAGCTCTCCGATTGTTTATCCCATAACTCACCGTGATATAATTATTGAGAATTCCATCTTCCGAGCTTGCACAGAGCCACGAGGCTGAGGAGTGAGGCTCAAGCCAATAAGCGGGGTCGCTTGACCTTCCTCACCTAACCGTCGAGTAGCTCAACTTTCTCAAACTTCTCCAAGTGTCTCCAGTCTTTTTAACTGCGCCCGTGTGCCTACATCTGGTACTTGTGGACGCATTCTCGCGACATCATGGCCACGGCGGTTGACCAGAAACTGCTTCGGCAGACCAAGTTTCCTCCCGAATTCAACCAAAAAGTTGACATGAAAAAGGTTAACATCGAGGTGATGAAAAAGTGAGCTAGGCGTGCAAAGGCTACTCGTTACTGCCCTCCCCTGGGCAAAACAGTCACTGATGCTTCTTTGCAGATGGATTGCAGGCAAGATCTCCGAAATACTTGGCTCCGAAGATGACGTTGTTATCGAGCTTTGTTTCAACTTGCTGGAGGGTTCGCGTTTCGTACGTCAACGTCCCATTCGCCGTCGCCCCGTCCAAAACTAATAGCCTCAGCCTGACATCAAAGCGCTTCAAATCTCGCTCACCGGATTTCTTGACAAGGATACCCCCAAGTTCTGCAAGGAATTGTGGAACTTGTGCCTGAGTGCGCAGTCAAATCCGCAAGGTGTTCCCAAGGAGTTACTTGAAGCCAAAAAGCTGGAGCTGATACAGGAAAAGGTACAACGAGCGCGCCACTATGTTGAACTTCGCTGATGTGGCTAGATCGACGCCGAGAAAGCTGCCTTGGAAGCTAAGAATAAAAAAGACGAGGAACAAGCTCAAGAGCGGGAGATTGACTCCATCCGACAGCGTGAACGAGCCGAGCGTGGCCGTGGTCGGCGTGGTGGTGGCCGTGGCGGACGAGGATACGATACGCGACCGCCGAGATACTCGAGGTCTCCTCCGCGTCGCAGAAGATCTCCATATAGGGGCCCCCCACCGCGTCGTGAGACTGATACCTATGTCCCTGGAAATCGAGGCAGAGGGGCGCGGGACGTGGTTCGAGGGCGTTCGGTGACCAGATCACCTTCTCGTCCTCTGTCCAGATCGCTCTCGTCGGCGCGATCGCGTCGTGCTGGCCGGTCCGCGTCAAAGTCAAGATCCCGATCGAGATCCAGGTCCAGGTCCAAAACACCGGCATATTCCCGAAGCCCATCACCAGCACCGCGAAGAGAACGGGATTCAAGAAGCAAGAGTCGGACGAAGTCACCTGTGCGGAGGGGAGCAGGCAGGTTGAGAAGGACTTCCGAATCACTCAGTGATAGACGCACACGATCTCCAACACATTCTGATGTGTCGCGCTCACGGTCGCCTAGAAGACGACGACCAAGAAGCCGGACAGCTTCAAGCCGCAGTCGAAGCCCGAGCCCCAAGCGGCGCCGATACCGTCGAGATCGCTCATATTCAATATCCCGGTCAAGGTCAAGATCACGGGACACACGGAGGAATTATAGAAAGGGTGACAGACGTTACAAGCGATCTCCCTCATACTACTCCTCTGATGAGAATCGCAACAACAGGCGCGCTGATATTCTCAGGGGTCGCAATGCACACGATGTTCGTCGTTTGAGCCGCAGCCCTGACGGTTATAATTCTCGACGAAGAGGCAGCTCGAGTCGAAGTAGAAGTCGGCGCCCACATCATAAGCGAAGGCGGTCGCTACAGAGATATGAGCCCGCTCCGCGCAGACGACGCAATACTTCATCATCGGAATCGTCGCCGGAGGTGAAACGTCGGAGACGTGATCCGTCAGACGACGAGGCGATGAGGGACTCCCCTGGTAAGCAAAGTGCGGATGGACGTGGTGACGTTGACTCCGATTGAGCGCTGGAGAACCGAACTCGTCCGGTGATTCAAAATGCCAGAGCCTCGACAACGCCACAGCCTGGAGACAACCTGAAGATATTTCGTGGTCAGCAAAAAGCAAAGAGGTCAGCGTGGAATGAGCGGTAGGGACACTGCCCTGCTCTGTCTACATCGGGTCCGCTGTACCCAATGTTTTTTCCACCCTGCCGGATCTGATGCCCTACGAGTGATACATTAAAAGCCGTCGTCAAGTGAATTTGTAGCAATACCAAGTACACAGTGCTGCGTACTGCACTTTCATTACGTCCGCGTCCGTCCATGGCCTTCACGTGAGTAACGTTAATGCCGAAGCATTTTGTTGGTAACTCCGACAGGCGAGGTTCTGCGTAATGCACATCCCGGTCCGCCCAAATCGCCCTCGCAACTTTCCCCTTTTGGGTCACTTAGCGACCTGGATTTGAGTTCTGGAACCTGAGACTTTGAGTGCATCCTCACGCTCCCTGATCATTTTCTACCTCGTATACATTTCATGATTCTGCACCACGAAACATCTTTAGTTTTATCATTTCACCCAGGACACACTTCGGATTTTCTTCGTTCACTCCCGGACCGGCTAGACGCCCTTTCCATCATTCTACATCCCCATCTTCTTCGTTCCTTTCGTTCCCATCCGCTTCTTAGTCCATCATGAGTTCAGGACCTAGACTAGTCAGCAATGCTGCAGCCAGGAGGCTCCTATTACAAGGTCAGTGTATGCATCGATTCCGGAACTGGTTCTTGACTGACTTGTGCATAGCATTCCCTCGCCCCTCGCACTCTTCGCTCCTGAGCGTCTACTCCTCTCGATCCAAGTTCTCCAGAGACCTCCCCCCTAAACTCTCCGCATTGGCTATTGCTTTACCGCAGAGAAATTATGCAACAGAGACAGCCTCGCATGGCCCTGACAGTGGACCTCCTCCCGGCTTCAATATTGATCAGGCTAAGAAACCTCTGCCCAAGGACGAGACCAAGAAGCCATCCGAAGCATCGTCTACCCCCACGGTCGCGGAGCTGAAGAAGTCCGATGAGCAACTACATGTCCCAAAAACAAAGGCGACTGCGACCGCTAAGACCAGGGCCTTGGAAAACGCCAGCCTCGGCGAGCTAGCAGCTGAAAAGGCGGTTTCTGCTCAGTCTGAGAAGGAGCATGCCACGGAACTCGCGGCCAAAAAGGAGGAGCCCAAGAAACTCACGATTGGCCAAAAAATAAAAAAGGAACTCCAACATTATTGGGACGGTACAAAGTTGTTGGCCGCCGAGGTCAAAATATCCTCGAGGCTTGCGTTAAAAATGGCCGCTGGGTACGAACTCAGCCGCCGAGAGAATAGACAGGTAAGCATTTCCTTGATCGGCTTGTATATGTTCGGAAGAATTGACAATTGGTCAGCTGCAACGGACAGTTCAAGATCTGGGCCGCCTGGTGCCGTTCTCGGTTTTTGTCATAGTCCCCTTCGCAGAATTCTTGCTCCCGGTTGCACTGAAATTGTTCCCGAATCTGCTTCCCTCGACATTTGAAGGCCAGAAAAGCCGCGAGGCCAAGGCTGCCCATCTTAGGGAAACGCGCAAACAAGTTTCTGCCTTCCTCCGCAACACGCTTCGTGAGACTGGCCTCCCCGTCTCTGCCATCAACGCCAAGAAAGAAGAGTTTACCGAGTTCTTCCGCAAAGTCCGCGCCACGGGTGAATCTCCTTCCAGAGAAGATGTTATCAAAGTCTGCAAGATCTTCAAGGACGATTTGACATTGGACAACCTATCCAGACCACAATTGGTAGGCATGTGCAAGTACATGAACCTGAACACCTTTGGAACAGACGCCATGTTGCGCTATCAAATTCGCCACCGTATGCGCCAGATCAAACGTGACGACAAAGCTATCTCCTTTGAAGGCGTCGACTCTCTCTCCGTGCCTGAACTTCAAATGGCATGCGCGTCCCGTGGTCTTCGGACCCATGGCATGTCGCCCGGCAAGTTGAGGGAGGATCTGCAAATGTGGCTCGATCTGCGCCTCAAATATAACATTCCGTCAACGCTGCTGGTGCTCAGCAATGCGTACATGTACACGTCTGGCAAGGACAGCGAGATTGATTCGCAAATTGATGCGCTACAAGCTGTGCTTAGTTCCATTCCAGAGGAATTATTCCACGAGATTGAACTTGAAGTCCACAATGCAGAGGGAGCGGCTACAAATAAACAACGTCTCGAGGTGTTGAAGGAGCAGCAGGAACTGATCGAGGAAGAGAACGAGCAGGCTGAATCAAGTAAGCAGACGGCAGAGGCTAAGGGCGAAAAGAGCTCCACCTCGACAGTTAAGGATGATAAAGACATCGACGAGAAGCCCAAGCCCAAGCCTGCTGATGCTCAACAGGAGGCAAAGGAAGCTGGGGCGGCGAAAGAGGCCGAAGAGGCCGAACAAGATGTCACTGAGCAGGGGAAGCAGGAGGGAGTGCAGAAGGCTCCCGAAGTCAAGAAAGACTAGCGGCTTCCTGCCTTTCCAGGCCAGAAAAATCTCTCTGCGATCTCCCACCACTCATTGTTTTCAAACGCACAGAGACACATATTTTTGACTCCCAGCTTCTGATCATTTGACCCAGGCGACAATAGACCATGGAAAGCGAGACCATGGATTTTTACTCGACATACATAGACACAGCTCAGCAAGTTAGTTGCAACATGCCCGTGCTCCCAACACGGTATTGAATAGGGAAAAATGGGCCGGGGGACAATGATGAGATTGACTAGCTACAGCCACATGTAGCCCCCAAGGGCACGGAGCGGAGCTACAGAAGAGAGGTGTTTGACGAATTCCATAGAGGTGACAATATATATTCCAATCCCGCGTCTTGACCTTGAATGCCGTGCCTGGTCCAGTCGTGTTGATTGTGGCGAGTGTGAGCACGAGCAGGGGCAATGAATATGCTCAATTAATCCTGTGTACCGAGTACTTCGCACTCGGCATACCATTTGTGCGTACGGGTTAGTACCGCGCCTTTTTTGATCTCTCTCTGATTCACGACGAGGTAGCCATCCGAAAGCAGTGACAAGCAACACGGCATAACTCGCCGTCTTGTTCACACGCACGTATGATGTCCAACCCATTTGCTCTTCATCGGCGGCAGCAGCACACACAGTCAATCCATCCATATTCATCGATCCACAAGGCGATAATTAACAAGGTAGGTCCGGACGTAAGGAAGGAGGGAGGTAGGTAGGTAGGTAGGCAGGCAAGCAGGTTGTTACAGCAGCTGCGTGAATTGCTGCTCTCACCACACAGATATGCGAGACTTAGGAACATGTTGTGTGGCAGCTAACGTGAACTCGTGGGTATTCGTCGTGAAACCAGCCATGCTGGTAATGGCTCAGGCTTTCCAGACATAAGAATTCTTGTCATCCAACTTTCCTTCGCGTCGTGTCGTATCGTTCAATTTGCTCCGTAGTGGGTCGCACCATAGCTTCTAGAACCGGAAGTCGAGGCCCAGTTCCGCTCGTCCTCACTTAGAGGTGTATGTGTAAAGAGAAGATTAGTTGCCTCAGACAATCAGACATATTTCCTCAGCTGAAAGCTCGTTAGTACCTTCACACATACCTCCATGATACCGGAAAGCTGAAGCAATATGCGACTTACATCTAGCGTTAGAACTTTGGAACTGTTCGCTCCTTGATCCCTATAGACCCCCACCAGTGCCTCGCTGCCCTGGAAGAACCCAGTCTTTAGACTAATCACGATGAATTGCATTCCCGGACGCTGTCATGACACACGACATGGTTAGCTCCACATCACATGCTATGAGCCAGATATGCCGCTTCCTGTGGCAGACCGCATAGATCCATAGGGTGATAGCAAAAGAGAAGACGACTTACCGCATGATTCTTCACGTAATTTACCAACTTGCCCACATTGGCATTATCCAAGGCTGCGTCCACCTCATCCAGGACAAAAAATGGGCTTGGCTGAAAACTATGAATCGCAAAAAGTAGCGCCAGCGCAGCCATCGTCTTTTCCCCTCCTGACAAATGCTCCATATCTCGAAAGCGCTTCGTAGGTGGCATAGTGTGGTAATTCACTCCTGCTAGATACGGCTCTTGCTCATCTGCTGTGAGGTAAGCGCGGCCTCCAGCAGGAAATTCGTCCGATTTGGTCAGGTTGGAGTAAATGGGTTCGATCTGTTCTGAGATGTGGCTGAAAGCCTTGTTGAAGAGTTCATTGCGCTTTTTCATTGCGTCCTCGAATTTTGCCTTGAGATCAGTGTATTTGTCACGTGACTCTATGTATTCCTGCTCTGTGTCGCGTGCACGGGCTTCTGCGGCGGTCAGACGTTGAGCGGCGTGCGCATTAGGCTGCATCCTATCCAGCACGGCATTGAGTTTGGCAATATCTTCCTGCAATTTGGATTCCATGGCTTCGTTGTCTGCTTCTTTGAGCTCGTCATCTAGTGCATCGAAGTCGGGTTCGATCCCGTAGTCGCTGCTGGCAAAGTTGTTTAGAGCGGAAGACGTTGGCTCGTCTTCATCAGCGTCCATCGCATTGGCATCTTCAACTGGCAGGTCGTTGACGGGCACACTGTCCAAGCTCGCGGATTGCTCAGTTAGTGGAATAGCGATATTTTCAATCTTGCAGCGGCGAAGGATGCTGTTTCTTGTTGCGGAATGTCGCTGGATCTCCGCTTCGAGGGCATTAATCGCTCGAAAGGTACTCTCCATCTCTTTGGCGCGCATCTGAAACTCTGCCTTCTGCTTGGCCAGCTTTTCGGCTGCTGCGGTTAGGAGCTCGCTCTGCTCGTCCAGTTGAGCATGGAGTTCATCAAGTTCATTCTTCAATGTTTCGAGGTCGTCTTGGATGCCTTGTCGCCGTTCATTCAGCTCGTCGATCGTCTCTTTGTCGCGTTGTTCCTTGTCTCGAAGAGCGAGGAGACGGTCGTCGGTTTGCTGAAGCCGTGTTTTTTCAAAACTGAGTTGACCTTCAATTCTGGCCTTTTGTGTGACGAATTCGAGCCTCTTCTGGGCAGCTTCTTGCTGGAGTGATCCTTGTCTAGCTTCATAGTCTCGAATGTCGTCAAAGCCGTGCTTCTGGCAGAAATCTGCAAAGATTTCGTTTTCCACATTGTTTACGGATTCTTGGTAGTCCGAGATATCTTCGTCTATCTTTTCCAGCTTGTTCTCTTCCTGGCGCATCTTCGGACGCTCCTCGGCCAATTGACGCTTAGCGTGATCAACTTCGCGCATCTTGCTCTGGAGATTCTTGTTGAGCGCTTCGAGTTCTTCTTTAGCATATCGTAGTTTGCTTTCAAGACCGGCCAGCTCATTTTGGAGGGTCTGTTCCTCTGCTCGACGAGAGCTTTCTTGTGGCAGAGCGGCAAAATCCTCCATCAACTTGTCTTTCAGCTTGTTGAGCCGATCAACTTCAGCTTCGTCCCATCTTCGAGTGGGTTGGTCCCTGCCACGGCCGCCAGTCATTAAACCGCTCTTGTGGATAACATTGCCATCTAACGTGACAGCCTTTGCATCCACATGGCGATTGTAGCACAGGTCCTTCGCTATGTTAAGATCATCACAGATGATTGAATTACCGCAGGCATATGAGATTGCTCGCGCGACAGACTGGTCATAATCCACCGTGTCGATGGCTGGACGCATGCCCTTATGCATGCCTTTCAAATTCGAGTTGAGCGCCTTGACTTGTATTGTGTCTAGCGGAATGAAGGTCGCTTGGCCCGAGCGATGATCTCGTAGATACTCGATACATTGCTTGGCGGTTGCTTCGGTGTCGACAACGACAGAGTCGAAGTGGCGCCCTAGCACTGTACTGACAGCCTCCGCAAACTTCTTCTGCTTGGGCTTGCATAGTTCATGAACACGACCTTTGACACCGGGGTATGTGCGTTTGAGCATGGTGATAGTCTCCCGCATTCTCCCTTCCCTCTCGTTCGTCCGGCGGCCATCATCAGCTTCCAGAAGTTTTCGAGCCACTTCCGCGAGCTTCTCATCGAGCTCAGTGCGGGTTCGAGCTGCCTGCAGTCGTTTAGACACGACAGCATTGAGCTCTTTCCTCTTTGCGTCTATCTCCACCTGTGCCTCTTGCACCGTTTCCTTGAGTGCGTCCCGCCGTTGGCGGAGGGCACTGGATTCATTCTCGAGTGACCCCAATTTGTGTTCGGTACTTTCAACACTGTTCTTCAGATTGTTGTAGGTGGCTTCAATCGGAGCTCGATCGTTCTTGAGCCTCTCGATGCGACTTTGGTCGGCCGATGCACGCTTGTTGACTTCTTCGCGAAGTCGAGTGTACACCTGAAGATCAGCATCACTCAATTGACCGCCTAACCGACTGGCATTCTGTTCCCATTCTTTCTGCCACAGAGCCTGTGCCTTCTCCACAGTCTTCAGGTCTTTTTCGAGTTGCGATACTGCAGCGGCCTGCGTTGTCCGCTCCTTGACGATTGTGTTCGCTCTGTTTGCGTATTTTGTGAGCTGCTGGGTGGAGACTGAGATTTGTTCATCAATTGGGACGAGAGATGCCGTTTTGTCCTCAATCTCCTTTTCTTTACTCTTGATCAATTTCTCTATCTTGCCAACACCTCGTGAAGCCCGAGCATGTTCTTTCTTTGCAAGGTCTAGAGCCTTTTCATATTTTTCCACACCGCGACGGTATTCTTTCAACTCCTCTTGATGTTTCTGGATCTGGGCGCTGGACTCCTGCATCTGGAGTTGCAGGTGATACATTTTCCACAAGACATGAGTCACAATTGCTTCATCTCGCTCTGCAGCCTTCTTCTGAAAATGGTCCGCCTCCCGTTTCTGCTCCTGGTACTGCCGGACCTCTGCGTTGATACCTCGACGTCGATTGAGTTGAAAAGTCTGTTGCTCCGTCGCCTCCTCTAGTTCTGCTTTTAATCGGTCGTAGTCAGCTTTGTACTCGATGCTGCCCGAAACCTGTTCGATCAAGCGTGTCAAATCCTGTGGTTTCTGTGTCGCAATAGCTTCGACATCTCCCTGAAAGACAAGGAAGTTGCGCGCTTTGATCAGGATGTTCTCGTCCTCCAGCGACTCATTATATTGTTGAGCGGTAACAATGCGCTCATTGATGCGATACTCGGAGACGCCTTGATTGGTGATTGTGCGCTTGTATTTCTGTTCCAAGCCAGCGTCATCTTCGTAAACAGCCATGACCCAGGCAGACTTGGGGTCGTCGCGCTCTTGTGTGCCGTTCGCTTGCGATTCCTCCTCTCCTTCTCTTTGTTCTTCCTCATCATGACCTCCGTCTCCGTTTGCTTCAGGTTCGCCATTCGGAACGGATTTTCTCAGAACGCGACCGCGGTACACCAGTTCTTTCAAATTGGCGGATCGAAGATGGGACGACTTGATTCCGAGGACGAACGAGATGGCGTCCATGGCGTTTGATTTGCCGGAGCCATTGGGGCCGATGATGGATGTGAAGTACGCATCACCAAATAGGAGGGTATGATGGTCCTTGTAGGACTTGAAGTTGTACAGTTCAAGCCTGCTGAGTTTTCCCATTGTAGGCTTGACGGTTGGAGGGAGAAGTGGGGTCGCAGGAAAGGTGAGTTGGATCTGAAGCAGCTTAAAGTGTAGACATGGAGAATGGAGAGGTTCAAGGAGCTGCGCGATGGGCTAGGGAAGAAGCGGAGGGCGACAGCGAGACACGCGACCGTCCGCTTGTGCTGGTGCTGGATTGGGTTGTTTGATATGTGCGCAGTTGGAGTGTACCTAGTCACATTGGATGGACACGACGCACGCGAGATGCTCGCGCTCGATAGAACCAGTAGTGAAAATTGTACTTGGTATGGAGTTTCTCGGTAGGACGCGAGGCGATGCAAGGCGCGTTGGAAGGACGGGACAAGTGGAGGCTAATGATCGGCTATACTTAAAACTGCTTAGGCCAGTTAGGCTTCTATTTCTACCTATCAAGTACCTCGTGCTTGTGCCTAGGCAGACCCTTGGCAGACCCTGGAACCACTGGAGAAGCCCAGGAAGCCGTTAGTCAGTGCCTGGGGCGCCGCTGGCCGGGCGTTAGGGGGCGCCAGGTGCTGTGGTGCAGAGTGGGTGCCGCGGTGCTTGTCTGGAATTGACGTATTGCTGCCATCGGCTCTGCCACTCATGGTGCGCGATATTCCCACGCTCCTCAGCCTTTCGCTCTCAACACCGCAAAAGGTACATACACACAAACACCCTTACAAACACCCTTACTCACAAGACTCATGTGCACATTTGGCAGCATGACCATCCAGCCTTCGGTATTGCTGGTCATCTGGCACGTGCCGCTTCTCACAGCATAGTATTCTTGCCTATTTCTTACGTGTGCGCTGCTGTGTGTCCTCTGCTTTTTGCCGATCTGGTATATCTGGAGATTCATACCCCAGCGCATCCGTCACATCATCCCAGGGTCTCCGATCTAAGCATTCCGCCCTGCATATCAACTTTCTCCCGCATCTCGTCCTCTCTCCTCCCTCGCTCGATATTCTTCCCGCTTCTTCCTGTCGCCCTCCTTCACTTCTCTAATGCGCCATCTATAGCTGTCTATTTTCAACCATGTCGGAACCTATACGCATCCCTCTCTCCAAGACTGACACCACCCTGGATGAGATGGCTTCCCATGATATCGCCGGTAGTGCTAGCACTGATACCGCGGGCTCCTTGACGGGTGCTCTGACTCCAGGCTATCAATCTGGCTACCAATCCTCCAGTCCCGGAAGCCCCTACCTCCTCTCCAGAAATCCCTCCCACATTGGCAGTCAGTCTTTACAGGAAGATTGGGAGGTCCCCCTCGACAAGTTGACCTTTTTCGACATCTTTGACAATCTTGCCTTACCGGCCAAGCTTGAAAAGTGGCAGGCGACCTTGCAAGCGCAGAAAGAAAAGCTGGCACGTCAGCAGGAGAGGATAAGAAGCTCAGGCAACAATGCGAAAGACCGCGCCATGGCCGAATGGCGCAAACGGGTTCCCCCAGCCGACGAACAGCTGGCCAAGTACCGCTCCCGCATGAAGAAATCTGTGGATGATCTCAGCAAGAGATGGAACGAAGTGGTCACAATATCGATCCGCGAGAAGGTCTCCTTCATCTCCGCCGTCCTCAATGTCTTTCTGAGCGGTTACCTGGTAGGGGCTGTACCCCAATATTTCTACTGGTGGTATACCATACAACTCATCTATTTCATGCCCATACGAGCCTACACCTACCACCGCAAGGGCTACCACTACTTCCTGGCCGACCTGTGCTATTTTGTCAACTTCCTTCTCCTTAGCAGCATCTGGGCGTTTCCACGCTCAAAGCGTCTCTTTATTAGTGCCTACTGTCTCGCCTACGGCAACAACGCTGTCGCCATTGTCATGTGGAGGAACTCCCTAGTCTTCCATTCCCTAGACAAAGTCACCAGTCTTTTCATCCACGTCATGCCCCCGGTCGCACTACACTGTATCGTCCACCTCACGCCAGACGACTACTTGCGCGAACGCTTTCCAGCCGTGCACACCATCAAATACAGCTCAAAGGGCTCGCCAGGCCACTACGAATTGGCGGCAATGCTCCTGTGGGCCACCATTCCTTACGCGATCTGGCAATTATCCTACCACTTCTTCATCTCTGTCCGGCGCGCCGAGAAAATTGCAGCTGGAAGACCCACATCATTTACATGGCTACGTCGTTCGTACGCGAAAACCTGGATCGGGAAATTGGTCAATTCGCTACCAGAATCCCTACAAGAGCCGGCGTTTATGTTGATCCAATACCTGTATGCCTGTCTCACGATAATACCGTGCCCAATATGGTTTTGGTATCGATGGCCGAGCGCGTTCTTCTTGTTATTCGTATTCAGCTGGTCCGTGTGGAACGGTGCCAATTACTACATGGACATCTTTGGTAAACGATTCCAGAAAGAGCTGGAGCAAATGAAGCGAGATGTGGCCAAATGGCAGAACTCCCCGGGAGCAATGTTTAGTCCGCCAAACGGACCCGTGGATTCCGATGTCAATTTGAACACGGCAAAAGACGATTCCAGCAAAGGACATGACAAAAGGCAGTCCATCGATAAGATCCCATTGCTGGATGAGACGGGACAACCCCAGCAGAACGGAAATGCAAACGGTGGTCCGAATTCGGAAGCCAATGCAAGAGCCACGGGCGCCGAGATCCTGTACGAGGCGAAGGGCAACGTTTTGGATAGGAAGAATGTCTCCGCACCACTTACGGGGGCAACAATGTGAGTAAGCCAGGCAGAAAAGAAAGAGAAGGAGATGATCTACTTTGCCACATTACACGAGCTACAAGACTGTGAATCAACACAAAGGGACGCAATCTCGGGAGGTGGCAGCATTGATGGGCCTGTGCGTGAGAGGAACCCAGCAATTGGACTGATGTGGTGAGGAGTGGTTGGAATGTGCGCGCGCATCGAGAACACAACCCTTGTCGTGACCTGCGATGGGTTGAGATTGAATTGGATGAATGAACTGGCTGGGGTACTCGGTATGTCAACCCGGAGAAGGCAGGATCAGCTTCTGGTGACTCGGAGTTTCAGGGCCGGGCTGCTGGGAATTCGTTTGATGAAATTGTGTTATTGACCTAGTTCTACCTTGTAGATAGCCTGATACCCTTTCGCTTTTGCTTGATGAAATGCCTTTGATGCCCGAGGGTCGATGGTTTCGAACTCGAGATGACGCTCAAGACTGATCTGTGCCCAACTTCCCTTCCCTCTTCCCGGTCCTCTATACCTCAGATAGAGCTGCTTCACCGAGTACATGTCTGGGTCCGTACGTATCTTGGTCCTCCGGAGACACAGTGGTCGCCTTGTCCCGTGACCAAGTACCAACGAATAATATATATATATGGCCCTGGGGAAGGTGCACCGTCTGTGTGTCTGTGTGTCTGTGTGTCTGTGTGTCTGTGTGTCTGTG